ACCAAATGGCTAACAAACTCCATAAGGAGCCTCTTCAATGCCTATCTTCCTCTTAAAGTAGACTGGTGCTACCAGGAGCAGATGTGTCTCATAGTCATGAAAAGTCCTAAGTTATTAAAACATTTTAAATACCATATTCTGAAAGTCTTTGAAAAATTTGAAGAATCCCTATTCACCTGAAATACATCTCTATACATCTAGAAAAATCTGACTACAAGCTTGACTATTATAGATAATTATCTATTAACTTCTATTTCTTAACTATACACTACATTTTAAAAAAGACATAGAGGGGCTGGAGAGATGGCTCAGTGGTTAAGAGCATTGCCTGCTCTTCCAAAGGTCTTGAGTTCAATTCCCAGCAACCACATGGTGGCTCACAACCACCTATAATGAGATCTGGTGCCTTCTTCTGGCCTACAGGCGAGATACTGCATAAATAAATAAATAAATAAATAAAAATAAAAAAGACAGACATATAACAAAATTGACCTAAATTTGTATCAATAAACCAAGATCCATACCAATGCAAATTGTTCATATCTATATCATATTCCCCTTTATATGTAAACAAACATTTATAAACAATATTTGGGAATATGGTCATAGTTTTTTCCAAACTACTTCCTGCTGTTCATTGGATAAAGTCATTTTTTGAGAGGTGTTCAAGGTGACCTTTCAGGGGGTCTTGGTTCATCAAACCATATTAGTCTAGAATGATTCCACACCTGGAATGTCTTGCATTATTGGGTACGGCAAAGAGTATACAATGAGAACTGAAGTTGTAGAGGTGTGATGTTCTCCTTCATAAAACACATAGATTAGATCAGAGGCTTTGGACCTGCATGAGGACCCTGATTTACCCCTCAAAACTTCTGTGTAACCATCAGTAAATATGCTTCTACATGGCTGTTATAGGTTTAGTCCATCAAGGCTGGACATCCCTGCTGCCACAGAGCCTGATTACATTCTGGGGTGGCCCTCTTTCTTTGATCATCCCGCATAACTCAGAATATCAACACTTTATGTCTGCCCAGGAAATTCAAAGCATAATCCAAACATGTCATAAAACATTCCACCAACAACAAAAACAGAAAAGACCCAAGAGTTCCCATCTTATTTGCTACCTACCCTGCAGCAGCAGAGAAAACACAGCAATTATTAATGTGGAAAAGTTATAGGGAAGAGAGGAATGGACAGAAGACAGTATTTACTGAAAGGCACAAGGAAGTGATGAGTAACATTCCCCCCACTCCAAGGTATGGTTTCTCTGTAGTCCTGGCTGTCAGGGATCATTCTGTAGACCAGGCTGGTCTTTATTTCAGAGATCCATCTGCCTTTGTCTTCTGAGTGCTGAGCTTAAAGGGATGCATACACCACCACTTAGTTGATGAGTGATAGAACAGAACTAAATACATGGTTCATGGCAATTAGTTGAACATTTTAAAATTTCTGTGAGAGAGATGTTAAATATTCCCAGTACAGACAAGCAATGCCTGAGCTACCCAATGCTCTTCTGCATCTGATCACTAAATTTTGTTAAATTTTAATGTTGCATCATTAATTCATTAATATATAACTATTCAAGTTCTCCATAAATATATGCTACTAGTACATGTTAGTTTAATGTATAATATACAATTAGAATTAAAAGTCAGCAATAATCCTAGCTGAACAGAGCTGGCAAATGCCTTTAATCCCAGTATGTGGTAGTTTGAATAGGGATGGCCCCCACAGACTCATGTGTTTCAATGCTTGTCCCACAGAAAGAGGCAATAGATGTGGCCTCATTAGAGAGGAAGTGTGTCATTGTGGGGGTGGGCTTTGAGGTTTCCTATGCCCAAGCTACAGCCAGTGTGTGATACAGTCTCCTGCTGCTGCCTGCAGATCAAGATGTAGAACTCTCAGCTCCTTCTCCAGCCTGGAAGTCAGCCCTGATTAAATGACAGTGTCATGGTGGCTCTTCACAGCAAACAGCACTTAAGAGGCAGAGGCATGTGGATCTCTGAGTTTAAGGCCAGTCTGTTCTACAAAGCAAGTTCTAGGATAGCCAAGACTAAACAGAGAAAAAGGAAGGGAGGGAGGGAGGGAGGGAGGGAGGGAGGGAGGGAGGGAGGGAGGGAGGGAGGGAGGGAAGGGAGGGAGGGAAGAAGGGAGGAAGGGAGGGAAGGAGGAAGGGAAGGTGGAAGGAAGGAAGCGTCAGCAATAATTCCTATAATTACCAACCAAGAATTTAATGGGTGCAGAGTTACAGGACAGACTTACCCAAGAACATGAGGCTGCTGTAGTTCTCGAGCATCACATCCCTGTAGAGCATCCTCTGAGCAGCATCAAGATCCTGCCACTCATCCCAGGTGAAGTCCAAAGAGATGTCCTCAAATGATACAGAATCCTGTAATGATACGTTTCTTTTTAAACCCCAAGTCCTCGGTTTTGGAAACATAAAATGAGGAGCTCAATATGGTTTCCACTAAGACTTGAGAGATGAGGAATCATAGAAGGCCTCAAAGGCAAACTGTAGAGATGAAGTTGGCATGCGAGTGTTCTTTGTTTTTAGTTTTAAATAGCTTAACTGAGGGGGAAAAAAAACAAAACCTGTTCACTAAGGATGTACTATCTTATAGAAGGTATTGCTTAATTTGTATCATGGAAGAAAAATTAATACAAACACCTTACCTGTGTTAATGCAGGGATTCAAGAATTTATTTGAAGAGTTTTCTATGCCGTTATACTATAAACAAAATCTAATGCCCTGTCTGAAGTTACTGAAGTCTCTAGGCCCTTTAAATCTGCCCGTTCATTGAGTGTCTCCACTCAGGTGACTTGAAGGAAGACAGGCTAACACCCCCATCCCAAACCAAGCTCTGAAATAAAGGGATCTGGACACACGCAACTACTCCTGGATCCTAGAAAAACAAATGGCTTTAAGCGGGCATGGACCCACTTCCATGGGCTGAAATCCCCAGGAGTAATGCAGAAAGGAACTTCCTGCTCTCTCAGTGCAGCTGTGAGACCGGGTATTCATGCCTTTAATACCAGTACTGTACTCAGGGAAGGCAGAGGCAGGCATTTCTCTGTGAGTCCTAGGTCAGCATGGTCTACAAAGAGAGACTGTCTGAAAGGACAGGAGTGTGGCTAAAGGCAAACCCTCGGACTCTGTTGTAAAGAATGTTACATTCTGTAGCGCTGCTCTCAGGTTTGGTCAGAGAAGCTTGTTCACAGGAGGCAAGAGCTATAAATCTTGAGACTTTTAACTGGTCAGCATGCTGAGAATACGTGACTGTTGGCTGCTCAGCAGTACATGGCACACCTATTCTCATCCCCTCCGAGGCTCAGGGAGCAACACTGAAGAGGACATGGGAAGCAGTACTGGGAAACGCTGTCTTCCAGAAATAGCAGGGACATTGCTCCCAGGAACTCACACCTACAGTGCCTACCTGCACATCCACAGCCATCATGGATGCGGGACAGGCAGCAAAGCCTCACCTTTCGCGGTGGAACTCTGGGCAGTTCATAGATGTTGGAGAAGGAGTTGTCATACTTCTCATTGGTGTGGAAACCAGGAAGGCCCTTGCTCAAGTAAATAAACCTAGGCTATGCAAAAAAGTCCTAGTAAAATGGAGTGGACATAGACACACACACACATTAACACACCACCAAAAAAAAAAAAAAACGAAGCAAAAAACATCAAAGTACTTAAGGAGATTTGTTGTGAAGAGACAACTGGGTAAATGTGCTAAAGTATATCATATGCCTGTGTGAAATAATTTTTAAAGGGGAAGAATATAAAATTAGTACAGCTATTTTATAAAGGAATAGGTTACTTCTTAAAAAAAAATAAATAAACAAGGATGGACCGCAGCAATTAAAAGCACTGTCTGCTCTTACAGGGGACCAGGGTTCCATTCACAGCACCCATAGGGCAGCTCACAACTGTCTGTAACTCTAGCCCAGGGGATCCGATGTCATTTTCTGGTCTCTAAGGCCACCAGGTACTCACATGGTGCACAGACACACATTCGAGCAAAACATACATAAAAAATAATTATTTCTAAAATAAAAATTATATCTCAGCAAGCTTGATGTCTTGAGTTCAATTCCTGGAACC